GAACCACCTCCCTCTTAAGAATCCTTGCTGCGCTCCTGCTTATAAATAATGTCATTTTTTAATTACGCCTCTTTGCCATATTTCGAGGCTATACTGTTGTCATATATTATCAAAGCTGTTATTGCTTCTTTGAACAGTTACGAAATTAGTCAGTATTTTAAAAAGTAATCGAATAGCTCGCGGAGCCCCTGGGTTTCTCTCGCGGAGCCCTGGGGCTCCGTACGGAGCACTTTGAGAACCTATGCCTTAGGGGTTCCGCGTTTTTTTTTTTTTTCAGGAGAAATTATTTCTTCCTTCAGCATGTTGATGCGTCATTATAAATATTCTTAGACCACCTTTTCTCTTTCAAACTTCAAGTAGGCCAGTTCGTTAAACAGGAGGTTTAGTCACAGACAGCGCAGTTAATAGGAAAAAACAGAAATATTTTCGGTTGTTGCGTCACTTCAGTCATTGTTATGCAACTAACAAGAACACTATTGTTGCACCTTAGTTACATGATGTTCAAAGTATGTAGATATTGCTCGAGAATAGAGAGAGTACATACCAGTGGTTCTCAACCGGGGTTCTGCGGACGCCCGGTGGTCCGCAAAGCATTTCCAGAGGGTCCGCGATTGAATTAAGATTTTAGGAAATTATTTGCAGTTTAATATCTTTTTTTTTGTAATACGCTCGAACATTTGCTGCCTATGACAATGTGACAATAGCTTACAAAAACTATTTTGATCTATCTTCCGTAGACCTATTGTGACAAATATGAGTTATGACATCACATGGATAAAAACGAGAACGCAGCTACAGTGATCACTTCCTCAGTTTTGGTGCTCCATTTTGCCGCAGGGTTGCCATATTGGCTTTTTTAACGCCAAATTTGCCATTTTTGGCTTTTTTAACGCCAAATTTGCCATTTTTGGCTTTTTTCAAACGCGTTTGGCGTCAGAATTTCCGTTTGGCTTTTTCCAAGTCTATTCTAGTGTGTATTATTAAAATCATATGAAATACAATATTTAGTGTGTAACAACTGAACGATAGCCTATTACCTGTACTTATTAGCTATGTAGCGTACCGGCAATGTATGAAATAATTATTCAGGTTCAGAATATCCTCTAATATGATCTGTCCTCTAGTTTCCCTATCAATAGTATAAGTCCTTACGCTGTTTTATATCATTTATTTAACAACTCGAAGAGTGAACGATCCAAAACAACCAAACACTCCAAAGGAACGAAAAGCATAAAATAAAAATAACAGATACCAGGCAGTAAATATCAAGAAAGACCATATAGCCTACACCATAAAAAACACAGACGAACCCTGAAATCGAAGAAACTTTCAATAGAAACTAAATGACCCCTAGAATCCAGTACAATAAACTAGCTACTACCATTTGCAGAACAGGCCGAAAATAATTTACGACAGGCATTTTTAAAAGACGACGAACAATTCTATAGGTGCACAACATTTGAATAGTACTGATAAAAGCTAATTTCATGATAAAACTGAAAATACTACACTACGGTAAATGAACTGTAATGGCACTGTACTCAAACAATAACATGGTCCCTACGTCAGTCCACTGTCCAGCACAAAACATCCAACAGTCACACAACCACAGACAAACATCCCCGAATACCAGAGGCATCCACACAGACACAAAACAACCACCAATCCAACCGAAACACTCAGACGACTGCCCTTCGTCAACCCACGGTGCAGAACATGCCGCAAAAACAAAAGGAAGGCCGACAGTGTCACAGCGCCCCCAGTGTCCTCACTGATAGAATACCAAATATTGAAACGATATCACATAACGTCATTTAACAGGCAAAACAAGGGTCGTCACAGCTACTTAAAATTAGGATTTCCTGGAGCATCGATTTCTTTGTTTGTTACATTAACTCTTACCCATACCCAATAAGAAATAATTGCAGTTTCTGCAGCTGCTCAGACAGATGTTCAAGCAGGGTTGTAAACATTGCCTCGTTTTTATAGTTTTGCGTGTTATTTGTCAGTTTTACGTTCTGTTTCCAAAAAATAGTTGTAACTTAATTTTCATTATGCCTGATATACTTTATGAGAGCTTTAGTTTAATTCTGCAATTGCAGTAACGATGTGATTAACTACGTTAAAATTACTGAATTCCACCTGTGAGCGGCAGGGGGTTAGATAATTTTTTTATAAAATTGATGGTTTATAAATTTTGAAGGTAAAAAAATATTCAATAGTAAAGTACGATATAGGGAGAATTTTTTAAGGTGTATCACAAGTTTAAGTAGAAACATGTAGGTATATTACATACTGACAGACTGAGGCGGCACCCTGTATTGTATATATTGAATGGTAAAATAATTCTGTCCGCTTGATATTTATTTTACTTTCTACAGTTGTATAGGAACTTTACTTTCTATTTGTGTGCCTCACTGAATGAACTGATGGCTCTACATCATCATCAGTACGTTGCCAAGGGCTTAAAATCTGACAAATCATGTGGCTTTTGTACTCAGTAAAATTTTTTTATTTTTTATGTCTTGATTCGGCTTTTTTTGATCGCTTGATGGGGTCTAGAAACCCTGTTTTGCCGTCGTACCCGGAAGTGTCGTTGGAAGCATTACGTGTTATTGTTCCATTCGCCTCCACCTACCTTTTTGAAAGTGGATTTTCTGCTCTCGTTCAAAACAAATCCAAGGCTCGTAACCAACTAAGACGATATGCGTCTATCGTTATCAAAAACACGACCACGTAGACTTGCTTCTGATATGCAACAGCAGAAATCCTATTAAGTGTATTCGATTTGACAAAATAAATGAAAATGTCCACTAGTTTGGTGTTATTTTTGACTTGGTTAAACCTGTATGAAACATTAGGTTGCTGTTTAAGCTATAAACTAGATTTCAAATAAAAAACTTTAGAGGGGTCCGCGACCGCTTTGAGAGCACCAGAAGGGTCCGCAAAGACAAAAAGTTTGGGAACCACTGGTATTATACTACAAAATAGAGTTGTTGTTCAGCTTTTCGTGTTACAAGTATTTCGTTTTTTTTTTCTGTTAATTGGGGTTCCATAAAAAACGAAAAATTATATCAGGGGTTCAACAATAACAAAAAGATTGAAGAGCACTGAGTTATACTATGATTTAACGAAATCCTACTAATATATATACCGGTACTTGCAAGTTCGTGGAAAGAGTTTATGCTATTTTTATTTATTTTTGTGAGAATGTCGGCTGAAACTCATGAGATTGGATTTACAATTTTATCCTGGGGAAAAGACGAATTGTACGGCTTAATCATTTGGCGAACCACGGCCTCTCGTTTGGTTACCAGTCCATGTCAGGTAAGGGATTAGTTAGCCAGGTATTTGTTTGCGATGCATAGACTCGATGGCGCAGGAAGCTGTAACCAAGCAGCGCTTACGTGAACCACCCTGTGCCGTCGAAGAGTCCAGCAACTCTCTTGCACATAGTTATCACTCACATTATGTGAATCCGTGCGGGCTAATCAGAGGTAGGTTACGAGCCTCTAGCACAAGTGATTAGTGAGAATAAATGACTGAAAGTAATGTCAAAGTTAATTTTAAGACAAGTTTGCCTATATCAACGAACATTTCCCCGAGCTCGTTATGCCTGTATTCAATTAGCGAACTGATATTATTGCAACATATTTGCTAATTATCGAGACAACGTTCTCGAACAAACAACATCGCTATTTTGCACCACGCAGTGTGACTCTGATCTAATCAAACAAAGTGATATTACCATATGTACCAAGATTACGATGCAACATCGAAACCATAGAGTAGAAGCAGTCACGAAGAAGATTATTTCCGTCAGCAAAGAAATTAAATTTCCACGCAAGTCAATTTAACTTTAGAATAAAGAAAGTATGAGTTATCTCTGAAAGGGAAATTGCGTACATTCGGTATCCGCTTATATATGCGATACCTAAATCCGGATCATGCCTTTTCGATTCCCTAAAAACTTTGGACTTAAGACTATATTTAGGAAATGAGAACATAAAAATGCTGTTTTATGTTATTTGTAATCAAATAAGTAAGTTACAGTATTTATTACTAATTACTTTCAACAAACATCTATATAGGGGGCCAAATGATACTTGAGAACGAAAAACAAGCAAGAATTTATTTCAGTCGGGTCAATATTAAAGTCTGTTTCGCACGACAAACTCGAAATGTTCCAGTAAACACTAGGTCATCATTGAAACTACGAATATTTAAGCGGTGTCCCTTTACCTGGGTACCATAAGTTTGTGCTCATTTAGTTTAATGGTTAACCCAGTCCTAAATTTGAGAAGTACACCCAAGACGATACCTTAGTCAGGAAAGAATTATTATACGATGACAGAAAAGTATGGAATTTGGAATTACAACTGCCAACCTTTATTCTTTAGCTGAAGGCCGTAAATTTGTGCAAACTGTGAAATTTCGTCACCAACTTCCTTTTTTCTCGACAATCGTTTGTACAAATGATTTCTACAGTCTGTACAAGGTTGCAGATATTGGTACTACCGCGTTTCCCAGAAATGAAGCCCTAGCCTGAATTTTTAAAATTGTTTTAATATAAGCCCTTCCATTAAAATAAGGCCTTGTCGATAGCGCAAATTTGTTTGACCTAATTGATAGCAAGATATCTCTCCTGCACGTTTTAACTGATATATATATATACGAATCAAGGTTTTGCAGTTATTTTGAATAAAAACGTGGTATTTATAGGTAAATCGATCGGTTTTCATATTTGTATATATATTTGAAAATCTCGTAATTCTCTACTTTGTAATTTTGTTGTCGAGGAATGGAAATAAAAGACATGTTCCTAAAATAAGCCCTGGTGTTCTTTTTCGAAAAAAAAAATTGAAACAAGACCTGTCTTATTTCTGGGGAAGCGCTGTAATAAGCTATATATATGGTCAGAACAAATACTCATTCAACGTCAAATATATACATTAAAATTTGTATATTTTTCTCTCAACATAAAAATAGTGTATAAAATTATAAATATTGAAAGTTCAAATTTGAAGTGATATGAGAACATGGCGAGATATTGTGATACTGAATATCCATGCTTGATTGGTGTATTGTACATATTAATAGGTAAGCAAAAGGTACGCTCATATATAAACCATCAAATTGGTTCTAAAACATTATTGGTATTTTTTAAGTTCAACTCAGATTTGAAACGTGTATTCAAACATTTCGAATTGAACTCGGAACTCATTTTCGTCTACAGAGGAGGTGATTTATATGGCGATCTGAAAACAGTTTTCAAAATAACTCATTATATCTTTCAGGATAAATAATTAATTTTGTTAATTCAGAGTGAATCACGAGTTTGGTGATTTGATTTTTATGCTAGATTTTAATCGCCTCCTCTGCAAGCTAGAAAATCAGTTCTGAGTTCGATTCGTAAAGTTTTAATACAGTATAACTGTATCTCATCTTATAATTATTGTTGGGATTCTATATTTTATGAAAAAGTTCTATTTGTACCAAACTCGCAGGTTCCCCATTCCAGAAAATATATATGTCATGACATGCTTACAATAACTTTCGTAACGTCAAACATACCGCAAGTCCTCATCTGCGGCGCACGATTCAAACTTCTGTGGTCGTCTAACGCAATGGTTTCCAACCGAGTTCTGCGGAACCCTGCGGTTTCGCCAATACAATTCAAGGGTTCCGCAAGTTTACATTCAACCCGAGTCCGCGGTCTCAAATGAGTCCACGGCGCGTTTAAATGAGTTCTCAACTAGCAATACCGTTTTAGAAAGTTATGTAGTGGTATATTACTGGTCACTAACATTTTAAGTGTCGTGAAAGTTACGATTTAAGTTAGTATTCAAATAAAACATAAAAGGCAAGGTAATTCACATAAAAAATAATTAACCGAGTCAATAATTACTGAGTAAGGCTGGTCAAAATAATTTAACATTAAACTATTAGAATACCTGGTAACACGTGACTTGGACATGACACGAAAATCGCACCTCTCTGAATCAAACGACTGGATTGCACAACACACTTGTGGAATAACATACTTGAACCTTTGTCTTACGTTAAAATTTGAGTCATAAAATTGATATTTGTGTTTATTTTTATCTATTGTTTCCTGTAACTCCATTGCTCCAATTTTTAGATGATCTCCTTGTTCGCTAATGTCGCATGAGTTTTACATCTTTTTAGTGGGCCAATTGGTAAACTTCGAATCACCAATACAAATGACAAAAAGTAACATTCCAAAAATGTCTGAGCGGATATATTAATTTGGATATGAAATATCATTAAGTGAATTCTATCAGATTTTAACAGATACGCAGTAACAACATTTCAGAAAAAAAGACAGCAAATCCAGGAGTCAGCTATAAAGATATTGTTAATTTTTTAATTTTACAAAGGTAATACGGACAATTAAAGCCGACACGAATCGCCGCCAGTGATCGCGTGGTACATTATGAGTTTGTCAGAGCGCGCAGTTCTAATGACGGAGCACCCTCGCTATGGTTTTCAAGGGAATTTGCAAATATGGATAACAAACTGACTTCTGAATTTTTTTTTTTTTTTTTCTTACTCACTCAGAGTTCGATCACAAAATTAACACTTAACGCAAAATTTTCTCTGGTGAGAAAGTAGTCCGCGACCAAAAAAGGTTGGAAAACGCCGTTAATAATAAACATGCAGGCAAGATTCCGTCTAGCACTTTTAGACAGTGCATGTCCAAGTCTAACTTGCTGCTCAAATCGATCTAATTCGCGATGAGTTAGACATAAATATAACTAAAAATAGAACACTGTACAGTTCTGAATGTAATGTATATATGCTTGTGAAGTCTACATTTTCATTGCCTACCCAAATGAAAAAAAAAAACTACTGACTACTGATGACAAATAATAATCAAAATAGTCCGATTCGTTGTTCAAGAGCAATCTGACAAAGCAAAGCTTGCAGAAACTATCGTCATTTTTCACGTATAGAGAGTTCCCGCCAACTTTACAATGTTATTACTTTAATTTGCAGTTCTAAACCCAGCAACAGCGTTCGTCATTAACGAGGGTGTTGATTGCCCAGTTCGGAACGAGGCAGAATCAACTTATCAATGCAAACCTGCATGCAGTCCTTCGTCAACTTGCAAAAATTCATACGAAAAGTGTTTATGTGACGGCCTTTGCGGATTTTCTTGTTTGCATACAGGTGCATTAAATAAACTTAAAATTAATAACAACGTAATTGACAAATGTGTAGACTATTTCTTACTGAAATGTAACACATTTAAATTTGTTAAGGCTTACAAGTTACGTACATTGTAGCAGCTGGAGTCATGTATTTCACGTTTTATTATATAGTTACAACAACTTGTAATATATATGATTTATCATGCGACATTACTTGATGAGGAATGATAGTTCTTAGTTCAATTCTTAGAGCAGCTACACAGTATGAGTACATTGAGGTGCAATGTTTTAAGTATTAATTATTCCAAAATGCTTTATTCATTTTCATGCTTTATCTTGCGACGTTTTATTGTTTTTTACAAGGTCCAAGTCGAACTTATTTGGTAACCATTTATCAACTGTGCTTTTGTCGATCGTAATACTAACGTGACGAAGCTCGCAACTAATATTAATTGCACTGGGTTTCGTTTCATGACATAATGATATGAATTTCCGAAACCACCGGGTAATGTTCACGACCACGCCTGAAAATCTGTTTGATAGAGTGTGTCTGAGCGGATGCGAAAGAGGGCATTGTTACGTTTATTTTTGCATCTTGCTGATTGGCCAATGTCACGAAGTAAACAAGGAAGTCAATGCCCGGAGAAACATCCAAATGGCGGTTTTGACGATGAATTAATATTACCCATAATCTACGCTCGAGGAGTAAATTACATTTTTTTACGGAACAAAATTTATCGTGAGACACGTTTAGACTAAATTTTATTATATCCTGAAAATTCTATCGAACAGCTACTTGTGTAACGAGCCTACAATTCAATTAATTATAATTAGACAAATGGAAACACGAAAAAAAGTTGATGCTGAGGGCAGGTGTTCAATAGCGCAGTAAATATTCGAATATAATGCAATGCAATATGGAAATAAAATTTATATTCTATTCGAGAGATTCACGATAGTTGGTCACGGCTTCTTCCACATCCGAGTCCATGAATCCAAAAACAAAAGGCTGATTATTTCTATTCATCTGTAAACGGCGTAATTTTAGATATAATAAAAAACTCGCTGTAGGACACCAAGCTCATCCATCTCATTAAAAAACAACATAAGCTATGATTTGTCTTCTTATTCGGTCTGTAATATATTCGTTTCTGACTTTACGTTTTTTTGGAGTGCCGGCCGGGGGGCGATGAAGTTGTATAAGCTACTGTAAGGGGGCGATGGTCAAAAAGTTTGGGAACCACTGCACTAAACCACAACGCCGCCAGCCAATGTTTCCTCTTAAAAACAATTTCACTGAGCAAACGTTTACTTCACTGAGCTTAAATATTTGCGGCTTAGCAGAGTCCTGAATAATTTCAAACTTTGTGAAAGATTATAATAGTAGCCTATAATATATTATCACAATGCGAATAAAGTAGGCTACACATTTAACAAACTAGCTAGACGTTAGAAAATATGTCGATACACATACACGCTTTGTAAACGTAATGTCGCAAGTGCGCAAGAACTGTATTTTACTGTAAAAATGCTCTGTGTGGTATTGCGCAATGGCGCTTGCCCACCTTATGTTCATGTTGACATATTATTCACTGTTTAGCTATGGAATTCTAATTTGGATTAGTTGACCAATTACCGTATTTTGCAGACCAGAAGGCGAACCAGGTTATATGCCGCACTATCAATAAATTGCCTAGATCATGGTGACCCAAGATTGGCAGCTCCGCGAGCCAAAAAATTACTTTTGCATTGTTTGCGGGTCACAATAGTGCCAAGAACTTTGCTCGTTTAACTTTGCTAGTTGCCTCAGCAAGCCATAACACTAGTGACTAGTCAATTCAGTGACATTAGTGATGCAACAATATGTCAAAAGATTTTTTGATTAATTTTATGACGAAACAACACGAAATGCGATTTTTTTGATTCCTTTCCGAGTGCGACGCGGACCACAGATAAAGAAGTGGCGGGCCACATGTAGCTCGCGGGCCTGGGTTTGGACCACCCTGGCCTAGATAGTGTTTTTCTTCATATATATATATAAAGCGCAAGAAGTTATATGGAGCTTGGAACTTGTTTTGACTGTAATAAATCACTATCTAATTCATACATTAGAAGCACCGGTTCATAGAGCGCACGATCGGTTTTTGAGAGGAAAAAAGAATTTTAAGTTCGCCCTATGATCTATAAAATACGGTACTCACCCTAGAAGCATGAACTTTGAAAATGGGGTAATGTACCTGTCGCGCTAATAGTGGCCACGCATAATCATCATCGGCTTTGGGCAAATGACCAGTTAAAATGTTTCTGCAAAAAGTCGAGAATGCATCACAATAAAGTCATTTTTTGTCGAAATGTATAATTCTAAATTTGGATTGTTCAACCAATCCTTTGCCCCGCGAGCAAGAACTTGGTTAGTGTATAGGAGACCATTATTTGCTGGTGGTCACGCTAATCTCTCTCCACAGCAAAACAAAGATGAATTTAGTCATCCTGATGTACATAATGATCTCAGCGCATATGCGAAAACGCGTGGTAATAATTGATGAAATTGTTAGAATATTCTTAAATTCATGCACGTCAGCATGCAACGCGCTTTTTAGACTTTTCTGATCATCGCAAAACAATATGTATCTTTACTGCGCAAATAAACCTCTCCTATTTCATTTGCGATCATTTATTATTTTTCAGTGCCAAATTTTCAACATATAAACACCTAATCATTTATTAATAAAGATCGTCCCAAATTACCCGAATCAACTTTATATTTTCCCAGGTTCAAACGAAACAACAACAACTACTCAAAGCAGCGAAACTACTGGGCATCATTCCCAGCGCCACCCTGACCTATTTTGGTTTATCGGTGGAGCAGTCGTCGGCATTTTGGTTTTAATTGTCTTCATAGCTGCATGTCTTTCTTGCAAGGGGCGGTGTTGTGGAAACTGCAAAGTTTTTTTCTTTTGCTGTCCATCGAAAAGTTATTATTAACCTTTTTGAAAAACTTTAAATGTTATCCACAGTAAATAAATAACGATAAGTTACATATAAAATATATATAGTATTTGATAAAAAAATGTTTTTAAAATATTTTATCTTATCTTTGTTAATTCAAAGTGAATCATGAGTTTGCTGGTTAATTTCCCTTCTAGGAATGAGGATATACCAAATCTCCGTTTGAATCGCCTCCTCTGTAAACGACTAAAACTGAGTTTTGGGTTCGATTCTGATACCATCTACTCTCAATGAGTACATTTAGGTGCAATGTTTTATGTAATAAATATTCAAAAATGCTTTATTCATTTTCAAAACCTCGATTTTTATTTTCATTAATATTTGTCATTATGTGTTAATTTGGACATCGAACTATCGATTGCCGTTTTCATGTTCAATTGTGAACATTACAAATCGAATTCAAAAAGAAGTATTTAAAACATCTGATCCACTCTCTGAATCCGTGCTGTAGAATTCGATGTGGTGCGAACCGTTTTTATATATTCCACAAATAAATTCTTTGCAAAATTTGATTATTTTCATTGATTCAGAGTCCGAATTCTGTTCGCTAAGGTGAGTGGTTAAAGGCGGCGTGAAAAAATGAGCGTAAGCCACAAGCCCCATGTCTGTGTTTGAACTCCAGCAAGATAAAAAAGAAAAGGCATTAATTTACAAAATAAAAATTCTAAGCGCATAATTTTTCACGAGCACTTATAGAAGTATATATGTCACCAACTGGCCTAACTGTTTTAGCATAGCATTCTGATAAATAATTTGGTAATAACAACCCGGAAGTTGTGGGAATTACATATTAAACTGTTAGGTTTTGCTAATTAGCTATTTTAGTACAAACATCTTCGTATGGGACTTTGATTATAAATGAGTTCACCACATCAACAAGTATTCAAGCAATAGAAGCCGAAATTATAACAGACTAGTTAATCTGAACATTGTTCCATCGTTCTCGCTAAAAAGTTTTATAGAACCAAAAAGCAAATAATTTTCGTCTGTTCAGTTCTCACGCTGTTCAACACAATTTCTCTGCCGAAATTTTTGAAACATCCAGATTATGGATTTTCAGGATGAATGGTGGGACATATTTTTCCAACCCATTCAATGGCAATTTATGCCTGTTCCATCCGGTGAAACGTTTCAGGTTGGATTCACAAAATAATGGCAATCCCAATGCCTAGCCCGAAAGATTTCTCCTTTGTCAATTATTAGGACATATTTCAAGTATATGCGCGGAGAAGTATTCATTATTAAGCCTTTTTCAAAGGGACCATGCTTCGGCCATTAATCTTGACAGTGAACAAATAATAATATTCAGTGCGGAGTTATATTAAAAAAAAGGCGCAGGAAAACTTTATGACGACGCTGAATTTTATTTAGCCTAATCTCCTTTGTTGCATAGCCAAGGAAATCATAGAGCGAAAATGACTCTAGATTATATTTTATCAGAGTACATAACCATGTCAGTGGTAAGATTTGGGAGTTCTGCTGAAAACGCTCTTGAAATACAATGATAGAATGCGACATACCTAATCTTGGTTTGATATCAGCGAACCCGTTCTTGTCATAGAGTAAAACTAGCAATCCCATTTTTTTCTTTTCGTAGCACACGACGTAAGACGACCACGGTAAATAGATACCGCGCACAGGAGCTGATTACTAGAGCTATATTTGGAATTACGAAAGTTATGTTACGTGAAGCGTATCATGTTAATGTTTCTCGCGTAGTGTGATAGCGTATTCATGATTTTTGTTCAAACTCGCTGGTTTTTTCATTCCATCAATTGCGCCCAACCACAGCCACTTTTCTCATCTCTGCTCTCGCCCCTATGAAGCAAGTCAGATTTTAAGACTTTCTTTCCTTTACTAAATTCGGGGATAATTACGACTATTTTTCATGATTTTTGTGCAAACTCGCTGGTTTTTTTCATTCCATTAATTCCCTCAGCTGATTTTTATTGCGCCCAACCACTTTTTTTTTATTTCCTTTTGATTATTTTTATTTTCTCATCTCCGCTCGTAGCACACGACGTAAGACGACCACGGTAAATGGATACCGCGCACAGGAGCTGATTACTAGAGCTGCGTAGTGTGATAGCGTATTCATGATTTTTGTTCAAACTCGCTGGTTTTTTCATTCCATCAATTGCGCCCAACCACACAGCCACTTTTCTCATCTCTGCTCTCGCCCCTATGAAGCAAGTCAGATTTCGGGGATAATTACGACTATTTTTTATGATTTTTGTGCAAACTCGCTGGTTTTTTTCATTCCATTAATTCCCTCAGCTGATTTTTATTGCGCCCAACCACTTTTTTTTTTATTTCCTTTTGATTATTTTTATTTTCTCATCTCTGCTCTCGCCCCTTTGATATCGCACCCTTTCATTTATTTTCTCATCTTCTGCTCTTTTGATATCGCACCCTTTTATTTTCCTTTTTCATCTCTGCTCTCGCCGCCTGTTTCCTTCTTCCTCAACTGCTTGCTCCTGTTGCTCGATTCTCCTTGGCCATCCCGCTGATCGATTTTCGCTCACTCCCCACTCTCACCTCTTGGCTGCTCGACTGACCCCTTTCCCCCCTAACTGCTCGACTTGCTATCTTGAAGCCTAGATGATCTCCATTTTTAACTCCACTCCCAACCTGATCGCTTGGCCATCTAGCTGATAGATCTTCGCTTTTCATCTCTGCTCCCCTTGGCTGCTCCGCCTGACCCTTTCTGCTCTCGCCTTGACATCTTTCGCCTCGATGACTTCACTCCCTCTTGTCTCCCATTTTTACTCTCCCATTTTTACTCCACCCTTATCGCTTGGCCAACCCGCTGATCGGTTATCGCTGACTCCTATTTATTTCCTTTCCATCTCCGCTCTCCTTGGCTGCTGCTATCGCCTGCCCCTTTCCCCCTCGACTGTCTGCCTTGTCTGAGGGTCCACCCCTACAACTCTCTCCACCATGTGGGGTTTGAACCACGGTCTTAATGTTTGATCATGTCTCAACGCTTCCCCTGAGCTATCGCTACTGTTGTGGATAGTGGGATTAAAATCTTACTTAATTAACGACGTCACACTTGACAGCCTATGACCAGGCTGATCGCCTACAGAACTGATGGCGCACAACCTGAACCCTAACCTGGTGAACATACTATGTTAAGGTTGTGCGCCATCTTGGTGCATATATTTCGGGAGCTACCAAATTACATTGATTCGAAGCATGTGTATTCATACCTCAATTGAAAGCGTTCATATGGGACTATCGTGTGCACTGCTCCAACTGTTGAATGCGTGAATATCCCGTTTCAAAACTGTTGCTCATTTTAGTTTTTAAGGTAAGATGCTAAGATAATTCAAACTAGTGAATGTGGCAAACCAAATTTCTGACTGTCAGCTGAGGAATACTAATTTAAAGCTTTCTGTCTCTTGTGCTTAACTAGTCGTCGTATCTCTGGTTTACTTTTCTGAATTTATAAACATCTCAGATCAAAATTGGCGATGCGTTATGCCCTTTTATAGATTGAAACGATATCATACACACTAAAAAATGAAAAACACCGTAAATTTTGTCTAAAGAGCCCCACGACATGTGAAACATGCTACCCATGGCACTAAAGATGAAATGTAGTAAATTTCGCGTGATATGTATCTTTCTATTCATTCTGATGCTACGTCGAGGTCACGCGTCATATTTACCGTGATTCAGATGGAATTTCAGCTAATCAATGTAAAGGCTATGGTCAATTGATCTTCCATTGTATTATAAGTGCATTCATTGCGGTTTGTATATTACAATTTTGGACCTCCTGAAGTATGCGCACCAAGATATCGCATAACTCGAACCCTAACCTGGTACACAACCTGAGTTTAGGTTGTGCGCAATCTTGGTGCGCCTAAATTTCTGTGATGCCCCATTTTCCTTTGTTCCCTAAGCACGTGCTTATTTTGCCTAATGGACAAGACAGCACATCTCAATAATATATATATATATATATATATATATATATATATATATATATAATATATATATATATATGAAATTTATCTGTGAAATTTAGCACTATTTATGGCTTTTATTTATCGTATATATTATAAAAGGTTTAGCTTTTGAATTGTGGGCTCCGTAAATAATAATCAACTCCTTCAATGGCTCTGTAACACCAAAAATTTGAGAAACCCTGCCCTAAGGAACCCAATAAACTCACGGAACCCCACTGCATGTATTGCGGAACCCTAGGGTTCCGCGGAACCCCTGTTAAAGAGCACTGGTCTAACTTCTTCAGACAAAACAAGATATAACAGCGAATATAAATAATCATAATAATTGTCTATTTAATTAAGGTATTCTAATGAATTTCGAAATCCCACAGATGGGTTAGACTTGGTCGGTCCCTACTTGCTTGTCTAAGAACATGCCAGTTCGGCAGGCTAAACAATACCCTAGTACTTGTAATAAACTTGAAAACAGGTATCACGCCAAGCAAATATACACATGTCGTCTGTGTCTCAAGTATGTTTCTGAGGTTTCCAATACCGTACTCATGAAGTCGAATTTGTAGTCACATACATGCGACTATTCGGCCCCCATACATTCTATTTATTCTCAATATTGAAAAGGGTCTTTAATATATCAGTCTGTGTTCCACCCCGTAAACGGAATGATAATCATAGTTGCAAGCTTTTATCCGGTTTCCTTTTGGATTAGGTATGCAAATCAGATCCAAGATAAGATTTTCATATTTATGCGGGAAGAGTGGAAAACCAATGAGATGGTTTTATCATGGGGCGTAGCCAACTACGGGTTACCAAACCATTTCGGGCATGGGATTAGTTAGCATGTCAGATGGTTCAGACGCATGGACTTGACCAGCGGTTATGTTAACCACCATACGGCGGTGAGGACTCAAGCAATTCTCTAGCGCGTAATTATCCCCCACGGTATTCGAGCGAGCGAACCCACACAAAGTAATCGGAAGTGCGATGGCAGGATGAGCCTTTGTTACTGGTTGAATGAAAATGAATGTCTCTCGTACCCAATGCAAACGAACGATCAACAAGACCCAAATAGGATAAATAATCGCAAATTTATAAGTTGGCTCGCACCCTTTTTTCAATTTCATGTTGAAATAGCTCCGAAAATGTCTAAAGCACCATCTGTAATCGCGAAATTTTAATTTATGAAGGTGTCAAATACCGTGTTTCCCCAAAAATAAGACTCGTCTTATTTCAATTCTCTTCCGAAACATAACACTAGGGCCTATTTTCGGGTATGTCTTATATTTTCATTCACCAAATCAAATTACAAGTAGAGAATTACGAGATTTTCAAATCTACAATACATGAAAACCGATGTTCATTTACTTATAATAACACGTTTTTATTCAAAATAGCTGCAAAACCTGGATTATCAATCATTCAAAACGTGTAGGAGTGATTTCTTGATATCGACTACGTCAAATAAAAATTTCCCGAGTTATTGACTAGGTCTTATTTTAAGGGGAGGGCTTATATTAAAAACATTTCAAAAATTCAGG